AATTATTTACTGCTTGCAAACCAATGATGGTAAGATGATGTCATGGGGTAGGACTGGATAAGTCTGACTTCTTCCTACTCCATTCAAGCATGTACTAGGTATAAGCAAATTGATATTGGATTATGTGTAAAATTATGTGTGTTGTCATATCAACTGTCTTTACATGCTTGAAAGAATAAATCAAATCAAATCAAACTGCTGTTAAAATATTTCACAGCCTGATGGATTGATCCCTACAGCTCTGCTACAACATGGCTGAAACACTGATCACTGCCTTTGCACTCTGTTAAAAGTACAAACTTACACAGCCACGGATCAAATATGTCTGCTTTGGAGCTATTCCAGCCATGTGTGCTGGGAAAAGACCCAGAGGATCCTGGATGTTACATCTGGATATTACATACCCCATCTCCCTGGGGAAGGGTTTGTGATGTGGGAGGACAAAGGCGTGGTAAAAGATATCTGGACTGTGTGTTGCTTATTTTCCTGCCACAGACACCCTGGGCCCGTTTCAAGAAGGAGGTTTAACAAACTCAGAGTTCAAACCTGAACTCTGAGTTGACTTACACAGAGTTGGAAAACTTGGAGTTTTCGGTTTCAGAACAGCTGAAAAGAGTTGGTTTAATCAACTCTGAGTAGTTTGACTCAGAGTTAGGCGCGTGCCACGCGACTATAAAAAGCCCTGAACAATGGAGTGAAGACATTACGAGTCACCATGGCAACAGGACCAAGCCAAAATAGGTCTGCGTTTTTCCCCGACAGAAATGGATGTGCTACTACAAGCATATAGTGACTACGAGCCCATATTCCGTAAGAGAAGCAACACGGTTGCAGCGGCGAAAGAGAGAGAGTTAGCTTGGGGGAAAATAGCTGCCCGAGTCAATGCGTAAGTTTACATTTTAATCATACAGTGTTCGGTGTAAGTAATTACTAAATAATGTTAGTATTGTTATTATTTGTCACTTGTAAAGTAAGGAATGGTTCTTAATTCTTCAATAATTGAATGAGTAACTTCAGTAATTGCATAAAATACCGATTTTTGTACGAATTAAAAGTGCAGTTTTATGTCTACCCTTTCTTAAAATTCCTATTGTGGTTGATATGGGATTTGTAAAGTAATGATTAATAAATAATCCAATACGTTTTATGGAGAGTAATTATTACATTAATCAAAATACCTTTTTTAAAATGTACCCAAGACTGATGTAGTAATATAAGAATTGTATTTTATTTTTCATGTAGGTGCAATCCTGCAGGCATAAAAAGAACGTGGCAGCAGCTAAAAATGAAATATAAAAACATAATTCAAACAGGTAAGGCTTGATCATATCATGGGTGTAGACTACCTGACTTTACAAACATTTGACATATTAAATAACTAAATAGCCTGCAGAGTATAGCAGTGCAGCAGCATTTTCAACATGGGTGTAATGTTGTTTTCATACAATTAAATCATTTGACAACTACTCAGCCAACAGAAAGAAGGCAGAGGCCAGAAAAACTGGTGGAGGACGTGCACCACCACTACTGACACATGCAGAGGAGATGGCCCTCAGCCTGAGCACTGGAAAGCCAGTGGCTGAGGGAATTCCTGGAGGGAGTTCATCAGAACCAGTCACTCCCCAGGATACAAGTGCATTCATTACATGTAAGAGGCCTACCTATATATTCTATTTTTTACATAGGCTACTTTTGATATATCCATTTATTACACTCTGGGTTGGGTTTTCAGTTCCCTGCGAATTAATACAGCGTCCTCATCTACAGGATCCTCTATGAATGGACATGCCATTTTGGTCTCTGCATGACGGAAACATGTGCAATCTATGAATGTACTGAAAGATTAAATGAGGTAGGCCTATTTAAACACCTTTCACTTTAAACAGGGGCGGAGACCGGAGGAAACTCTGGGTTTCCCGAGCAAAACCTGCTCCCAACCAGGTTAGGTTCACAGAGTAAGTTGCCACAGTAACTGACTCTGAGTTTAGATTACCTCTCTTTTTGAAAAAGGTTTAACTTACCCCGCTTTCACGGGTTTAAGTTACCTCCATTTCTGGAACCGAAAACTCCGAGTTTTCCTCATTTCGGGGTTAACAAACTCAGAGTTTCAACAAAACCTTCTTGAAACGGGCCCCCTGACTCAGATAAATGGTAAACATGGCTGGGGGAGGAGTCACCCTTTTGTTTATGCTTCACAGAGTGTGTTTTTAACAATCCTTACAACTGTCACATCACAAAAGCATCCATTTGGTCTGTGATTGATGCAACAGCTACAGCTGCACCGTTACCTGTATATGGAGCCTCGTCCTTGCTGGGCCCAGTACAATGTGCGGTTTGAGACCAAGACTGCCACTGGCCCTGTTCCTGGTAATCGTGGGCCCAGTGCCTTGTACTCTGTGCCAGTGATGCTCATCTGTCTTATTCCTTTGGAAGAGGTAAAAACCAGCTGAGCCTCATCACCTGGAAGGACACAAAAAACCCCCAACATTGAATTTTGTGTTGTTTTTCAGATCTAGACATGCCCTAGATTTGATCAGAGTTTGGTAACCAAACATAATGAGCAGTCGTCTCCCAACCAGAAGGTTGAAGGGTCGAATCTCGGTGCCGGCAGTCCACGTGTTGAAGTTGCCTTTGGGCAAGACACTGAACCCCCCATTGCCCCTGATGGTTAGAGCCATCGGTTGGGGTGGCGCTGCAGTTGGCTGCCACTGGTTCTGTACCAGAAACTAATTCCTTGTGTGTAACATACTTGGCCAATAAAGGTGATTATCCTTATCCATTATAATGGCATCGCTGTGAGCGAACCTGCCAAATGCCTCTGATAACATTCAAATGTTGTGCTAACTAACATAAGACACAGGTTTGCATGGTAACAAAGGCACACCCGCTGATCGCTGGCATCAAATGACAAAAAAAACAAACAAAAAAAAAAAAGTGGATTAAAATGTGTGGTTGGCCAACATCGTTCAAAAAAAAAAAAAATCCAAAATCCAGCATACTTAGAAACTGTCACAGAATCTGGGAAAGCTTGCAGCATTACCAACATTCAGTTCAAAACTCCTTCGACACGACCGCAGTTTTTTTTTTTTTTTTTTTTTTTTTTTTTTTTTTTTAATTAGTCACTTCATCACCATAGTAAAGATCATCTGGGCCTCTTCACATCATACAATACTTGTAGTCAGTCATCTAGTAAGCTAACTGATAATTAGGCAAGATGTCAAAATCTGTTTGATTCAGCAAAGTAGGTGACATTTGTTGATCAGTCACATCACAAATGACAACCTGAGTTTCTTTGAGGAAAGAAGAGTCTAACATCAGTCAGCCAAAACTCACTGCTGCTTTTCTGCTTTCACAGGCTCAAGGTCATTTATTAACTATTAACTGGACAGTTCACCCGAAACAATTCATGGAACTTATTTCATTTTTTAAACCAACTTCCTGGGGAAAAGCCCTCACATAGGCTGGTTTTGTTCCTCACCGTTGGCCTTGCACCCTCTGGTTGCTGGATCCATGTGGTAGCCCTCAAGGCAGTCGCAGGTGAGGCTGCCGTTCATGTAAACACAGAGCTGATCACACACATCTCTCTCCAGGCATGGGTCGATCTCTAAATGAAATAATGGATATGCGACAAGGAGCTTCAAGGACTGCGTTACAAAATCAGGGAGGTCCAGTTACCATTCCCAAATTCGTTTACCCAGAACAAAACGCAGAGCTTCCCATAACATATTAGTATACAGTACACAACAATGAAACTACCTATTAAAAAAATAACACTACAGCCCTCTCTTAGAGTTAAGAGGCTCCTCCAGGCTGCCACTCACCCTCACACTGGCTGTCCGCAACCAGCCTCATGTTGTCAGGGCAGTGGCAGAAGAAACCCATGGGCTGGTCCACACAATGATGAGAACAGCCTCCATTATTGACCTGGCACTCGTCCTGATCTGTAAGAACCAACATCAGTTAAAAGCCCAATGGTGCTGAGATAAAATAAAAATATAAAAAAAAAAAAAAAAAAATCATGAAATCAAATCAAGTAAGACTAAGTCACTGACATAGTGTCTACGTTAATTTCATTAATGCTTTTGTTTTTTTGCTTCGATTGTAAACAGGGTGTTGCTGTAAATTAGCATATATGCTCAGTCAACCTACCCTGTATAAATAAATAAAAATCATACAAAACATGTTGTTCCTTGATGGTGTTCATGTCATTGTCCCATCTCATGAGGATCCTATGATGTTCAAAACATTCTCTCCTCAGCTCACGTGTTAACATTTTCTTACTGATACACTGATCAATTTAGATAAATATCCTTGTCCATACAAGATGGCTCCTCTAGACTC